ACATGGGGTATGCTTTACACAAGGGACTCATGCTCTTCTAGGATGAATGGTTGTGTTTGTGAAAAAAAGAAAATACATTGGAAAAGATGCTATTTGGTACTCTGTATGTGTATGCATTTTCTGCGAGTGGATTTTATTTCCCTTTTTCCTTTTTCTCTACAGAACCAGATTTTTTTGCAGTTTTCTTCAGAAAGTAGATTGATAAAATTTTATTTTAAACTGAGCTGAAAAATAGTTAAGAAGTCCAGAACCAAGAACAATAAATATCAGATAAAATCACATCATACGATTTAATGGCACTATGAGCACATTGAAATTACAAAGTAAAACAAGGTAAACCAGCAAGAACGCTCTGTTTTGAAAGTCAGTCAGTTAGCTGTGAGGGCCTTCAAGGCCTTCACTGCTGGCCTAACATAAATCAGAAACACTAACCTACATTCACAACCTAAATTTACATTTTCCTCAGATTTGGTTGTGCTGCGTCCGTTATATTTATGTAGTTGCTATATTTTTTGTCCAATCAGATTTCAGCATCTGTGTTGCTATGTCAATCAAAGTCACCAGTAGTCTAGTTGTTAAAAACAAAGGAGGGGGATGCTGGATTTTTAAAATTTTTTTGGAGAGTATACATAGCCTAATTATAACAGTCTATTAACCTAAAGCAATATGCTGGGTATGGTTGTTACTTGTCAGGTACGCTGGTCATTGACCTTGAATTTTAAACATTAAGTCGTAAAATGTCACAGGGGATGGTATGGGGGGGACGGTCATTCAAGAAGGGGGATGATTTTTAAGATTTTTTTTGATGGGGGATGCCATCCTCCCTCATCCCACCTCAGCTGGAGTACTGGTCATCACCTTAAGCACAGGCTGCCCTCAAGGCTGCGTCTTGAGCCCCCTGCTGTTCACGCTGAACTGCAACACACGACTGCGCCCCCAGGTTTACCACCAATCACATTGTGAAGTTTGCAGATGACACTAAGTTGGCGGACCTCATCAGAGACAACAACGACCGGGACTGTAGAAAAGAGCAACTGATGGCCTGGTGTAGAGACAACAGCCTGATCCTGAACATGGAGAAGACGAAGGAGATAATCGTTGGTTTCAGGAAGAAGCAGCCTAACCACGCTCCACTGCTCAGTAACTACTCAGCTCTCGGAGTGGTCAGCAGCACCAAATTCCTGGGGGTGCACATCATAGACAACCTTACCTGGACTAAGAACACCACCTCACTGGTCAAAAGAGCATAGAAGCGCTTCTACTTCCTGCGGAGGATGAGGAGAGTCCACCTGCCCCCGCCCCTCCTCACCACCATCTACAGAAGCACAATAGAGAGCGTTCTGACCAGCTGTTTCACTGTGTGGTGTGGAGGCTGCAGCGCCTAAGACTGGAAGAACATGAGAAGAGTGGTGAGGACAGCAGAGAGGAGAGCTCTCCTCGCAAAGCATCATGGGATTTGTTGTCCCAGCGGCCCGTTGTCGCTACCTGATAGCAGCGACAGATAACAAAGATAGCACAGGCACAGTGTGGGGAGATGGAGGTACGAGACCAACGGGAAGCGAAAAGTAGTGATCATCTGTCCGAATGGTCAGTTAACTGAGTTTACTATAAAGTCCACTATATAGTCCATCCTCTATATAGTGATTGAGGGATCTAGAGGTTTGGGCGGTCATTTGGACACAGCCTATGACTCTGCTTACTGAAATGTACCCTGGGCTGTCAGGGTTTTGTAAGAGTGAAAAAAAGTCAAATCTCAAAAAACCTAAGTACTATATGCCAAAAACTGTTGTTTTTTTTTTTTTGTGCGGTTTTTTAACATTTTCTTTAGTCTCACTTTATTTGAATAATTTTAAAATGTAAAATTTAAGTATTACTCTTTGAAATTTTTTTTTATTTGATATTATTACATATGTCCGGAAAAAATAGGCAAATTCTCATA